ACTAACAATGGTAATTAGGTTCATGGTACAGGTTGTTTCAGGCAGACAGTAAAAATAGATGAAGTAAGGAGTTGTGTGAAATACAAGGCTCACCACCAAGCCACTGTTGACAGAGGCCCAAAGAGGGAAGCCTGTGACGGGAGGGCACGGCTTTGAGGGGCCATCGTTAATAGTCACATGACACTTCTTGACCGCTCCAGTCCACCCCTCCCCACCACTGGAGGCACCGCTGCAGGAGATGGTCTCAGGCCACCCCCGGACCCTTCTGCATCTGGCTGCATCCTCCACCACGTGCCATCTCATCCCTCTGCCCCTCCACCTGTGGCACAGTCTTCCTGACCCCCAGGAGCTCACCGACACCCCTCATCATGTTCTGTCTCTGGACCCGTGCATGCTGTTCCTTCTGCCGAGGACACCCTGCCTTATCTTGCCAGTTCAAATGCCACCTTCTCTGTGCACCTCTCTGAACCACCTGGGTTGAGCTATTCAAGCTACTTTCCAGTCTACCTTCAGTGCATTCTGAATGGCACTAATTTGTCTCAATGTTTACCTTCCCAACAGATTTTTAAAACTTCAAGCAAAGCGCCTGACACATGGGTGGCATTCAATAAACAAACTGGAATGGTTCCCAGAGACAAGAAATGACCCCTTTCTGGGCAATGTTCTTCTAAATTGCTTCTTTTTATTTTTAATTTTTTAGTGTTTGCTTTTTTCCCCTGAGCTTTACTGAGGAGTAATTGACAAATAAAAATTGTATATATTTAAGGTATATGATGTTTTGATAAATGTGTGCACTGTGAAATCACCACCACAGTCAAGCTAATTAACATTATCTACCATTTTATACATTTACCATTTTCTTTTTTGTTTTCATTTTGTTTTGTGTGTGTGTGTGTGTGTGTACTGAAAACATTTAAAATCTACTCTCTGAGCAAATTTCAGGTATACAACAGAGCACTGTTAACTACAGTCACACTGCTGTGCAAAACATCTCCAGGACCTCCCCATCCTGAATAACAAAATTTTATACTCCAATTGCTACTGATTAAAGGACTTTTGGATCTCTACAAGAAAAGTTGGGACTGAAACATGAATGGAATACCAGAGGACATTCCTCTTAAAAACTAGTTTTTAGTACAATTCCCCACCAAAGGTCAGAACCCACAAGGTCGGCTCTCACACATCCCAGACACCACCTGCCAGAGGTCCCTACAAATCATCTCCTGGAGAATGTAACAGGGTTATTTCTCTCACAATATCAGCCTCCACCGCTAAAAATATCCTTAGCGGTCATAAAATTATCCAGCCCCATAGTTAATCCAGCCACAGAATTTGCCTCTGTGACCTCCCATGGTAATGAATTATATAAGTGACTATCTCATTTTATTAGCACTTAATTTGCTACTCTTTAATTTCATCAAATAACCCTTGTTCTGATATTATGGGGTCTGGGGAAAAGAAAGGACTGATTGGCCTTTGTTATGCCCTTCATAATTTTTAATATTTCATTCGAGTACCCTTTAGCGTGTCCCTTCCAGGAGAAGTGATTCTAAGGCACACAATCTCATCAGGACCATAGAAGATTCTCTTATGTACAAGTGCCTTTGGGGAGAGCAGGCATGAAGCCGTAACTGGAAGGTGATAATACTCTTTTCTGAAAACTCTCCCGTGAAGAAAATCCCACTGTTCCTCCTCGTATGTCATTTTAGTGGCTTTCAAGCCCTTCCGTCAGTTACAAATCTGTTCTCAAATACTCTTCTCACAATTGATAAATTTTTTTTCTTGTTTAAGTCTCAGTAGAGACAGAGATCATCTTCCCTGCAAATCCACTCTGGAGCCTTTCCATCACTTCCATTTGTGTTTACAGATGTCCCTGTACATCTTCACAACATCCCGAAAACATGTAACACCCAACAACAACTTGATTAGACGACGTTTATTTTTTATTTTGATTTTACCTTTGTTCCTAATGGAGGGAAATACATGGTACTTCATTAGAGGCTTTCCCAAATTGGGAAACGTTCAAGATAGATTCCATTTTCCCTGTTTCCTCTCTTCATCCTGTCTGTTTTTATATCTGATTCTACCACTGAGATCTGTGCCTCAGTGTTGTCTCTAAACAGGTGTTTCATGATACATACTTGTGGATCTTCCATCCCAGGGTCTGTTTCTCAGTACATCCTCCTCTTGTAGGCACCAGCTTGTCTATTATTTCTGTGCTGTTTATTTTCAGTTCTGATTTGCCACTTCGCAGGAACCAGTTGCAAGTGTCTAGCACAGAAATAGTTGCTCAATAAAGCCCCCCTGCATCACAGAAAATTTATTTTTTTTTACCACAGACACTGAAACTAGTGACGTATCAACTTGATGGTGTTTAGTCTTCCAACCCTGGAAAAGGTCAGCTTTGCTTAAAAAAATGACACTGAGGCACAGAGCTGGGTTAATAAAGTATCATTAAAATTACCTTTACTTGTTCCTGTACACTTTTTATACTGTGCATACTAGGAGATTTCGAGTAAGAGTAGGTAGACCAGTAAGACGGCTACTACTGCTGCAGCCCAGGTGTCAGCAAACACAATGCTGCCCTGGGGCATTTCACCACACTGAAACTTTCATGACCGACCCTTGGCCACAGAGCTCTTCCGCAAGGCCGGCCTAACACCACTGCACGGTGCCAGCCAGAAATGATGACATCAGAATGCCACTGTTACTGCTCCCTAGAAAAGATCACCAGAACCCTAGCACCATGGGCCACCAGGCAGAACCTACTACCTGAATCCTCCATGACACCAACATCATACCTGGGCAGGAAGGGCCCACACTTTAGAGAGTCTGTTCTGGCCCACCCACAGCAGTGCCCTTCCCCACAGGTAAGGAATCTGGGGGGCCAAGAGCACAGACTTCCTTTAAGATCACATTCCCCCTGTGGTCCATGCTCAAGGTGCACAAGACCCCAGAATTTCCAGGCCAAATGGCGCTAAGCCTACTTACAGAGTCTATGGGGGTCTCCATCCCAAAGTCAACAGCTTAAACTTAAGCTATGAGACAGAGAAAGGACTTTCTTCCCGGAAAGCTTATAAATGCAAGTCTGACTATGAACTACATTTATTCATTCACTCAACTAACATAAAACGGATACCACCATGATGCCAGCACTGCTGAAGACTATGTAGATTTAGTAGTGAATGAAAAAACAAATCCTTACTCTCACAGAGCTTTTTCTA